TTCAAGGCCAGCCTGGGCAACTTAGCAAGACTCTGTCTCAAAATAAAAGGGTCTGGGATATAGCTCCGTAGCAGAGTACTTGCCTAGCATGTGTGAGGCTCTAGGTTCAATCTCTAGGACTACCAAAAAAAAAAAAAAGAAAGAAGAAAATAAAAAGAAAAACAAAACATTATGAATAAATCAAATGAAATGATGAAAGTATTTATGTAGCCAATGTGAAGACAAGAAAAAGAAAACAAAAGTGAAAAATGGAGAAGAGAAGACAAAAAGTAAAATAGTGATTTAAGCCTTTAGATATCAATATTTACATTAAGTACAAATGGTTTAAATATACAATTTGAAAGGCAGAGATTTGGCTGGGGTATAACTCAGTCACAAGGCATGTTCTTAGTATGTGTGATGCCCTGGGTTCAATTCCAAGCACCATTAACAAAGAGTAGATATTGACAGAATTAATAAAATAAAAACTACTGTATGCTAAGGCAATTTAGTGAGATTCTGTCTCAAAACAAACAAATTAAAAAAAAGTAAAAATTATCAAGTACGGTGGTTCACACCTGTAATCCCAGCAAGTTAGGAAGTTGAAGCAGGATGATTCCAAATGAGTTCCAGGTCAGCTTCAGCAACTTAGTGAGACCCTGTCTCAAAAAGGTGGCGGGAGATGGGGGGGAACTCTGGGAATGTAGCTCAAACATAAATCACCCCTAAGTTCAATGACGAGTACAAAAAAAAAATCAAATCAAGAGGGACTGGGGCAGTGGCTCGGTGATAGAACACCTAGCATGGGTGAAGCATTGGGTTTGATCCTTGGCACCACATAAAATAAATAAACAAAATAAAGGTATAAAAAAGAAAAAAATCAAATCAAGAAAGGACTAGGGCTATGGGGATGTAGCTTATCGGTAAAACATCCCTAGGTTCAAACCCCAGTACCCACCCCCAAAAGAAATGTGAAGGAGAAACAAAGACTGAGTTAGTCAGTTTTCTTCTACTGTAACAGATACCTGAGGCAATCAATGTATTAAAGAGAAAAGGTTTATGGTGGCTCATGGTTTTAGAATTTCCAGTCCATGATTGGTCCTGTTGCTCTGAACCTGTGCTGAGGTAGCACATTATAGCAAAGCATGTAGCAAAACAAAACCTGTCACCTCACAGCCAAGAAGCAAAAAAGAAAGGAAGAGGAAAGGGCAGGGGCACACCCTAATGACTGGAAGACCTCTCACTAGGCCCTACTTCTTAAAATTTCACTACTTTCCAATGGTGGCAAGCTGAGGGCCAAGTCTTAACATATGAGCTCTTGAGGGACATTTAAAATCCAAATCACACCTGAGCATAGTGGTACATACCTGTAATCCTAGCAACT